GGCATATTTTCTGCCGGATAAACCATCATTATGGAACCTTTTACCCTCATTCGAATGATATCCAACTGAATGATTATTCCATCCAGGTAATCTATGCGTATAAAAGAAAATTAGTATTTATAAATTACAATCAATTAATACCTTTTTGTAAGGGATACCTACCTAAAAGTTGGATATGGTTTAGTCGCAAGTCCAACCGCAATCGTTGTATCTTTATTTGGATTGGTCAGAATCGTTACTTCATAATAAAAAAACCAGCTGTCAGTTGGGGGTTGTAAAGCGAATGATTGTGGAACATACGGCGGAGGAGGAGGAGGAGGAGCTGGTGAAAATGTTGAAGATGCAGAATTATCTATTACAGCAATTGTGTTGGTATTTGTTGGAGATGAAGGGGAGTTACGGGAGGAAAGTAATTTTGATTTTGAATGTGTAGTAATAGGGCTAATATTACTTGAATCACTCAAATCCGTTGAATCCATTACACGATTCGTATTCAAGGTCAATCTATTACTGTTTACTTTCTTTCGACTATTGTTGTTATTTGACGGGGATGTGATACTGTTAGTTGAAGATGTTGAACATGAGCTAGAATTATTAACTCTAGCAATTTCGCTATCCGCTGAATATTTCATATCAATTAATGGATAATTTGATTGCACCATAGCATCCAATTTAGCATGAAAGGATAAAATAAAATCATCTGTAACATTGACAATATTTAATTGTACGATGCTTGATTCAGGTACCAATTTCCATGCTTCAACACCTCCCAATTCTTTAATATAATTTGAATGATCTTGTGGAGGTAATATTTCATTGGGTGGATTTTCTCTTGTAAATTGTTTTCCGGCTTTATAAGCTGTCCAATTTGATTCTTGTCTTAAGGCATGTTTATGTATTTCCTCGTTAAAAGTATTATTATTGTATGGAGGTGGAGTTATATCCATTGCAGGAATTAATGAAGGATATTGTGAGTTATGGGTATTAGTATGAGCTAGCGGAGGATACTGTAGTTGTTGTTGAGCGATTATTTGATTTTGATGATTCATTTCTGTCATTTGTAATTCTTGTTGCCATTGATCAAGTATTTGTTGAGTATTCATATTACTTTCCAACCTTTCTGATGAATACTGCTTTCTAATAAGATAGCATCGTAAACATCCGCATCCACATATACACAATAATATTAGACCCACTAATATAAATACTATATAGCAAAAATTACCACAATTTCTACTTCCGTTATTATTATAATACCAAAATACCCAATATGAATTCGAATTTCGTATAGGTGCTCCAGATACAAATGATAACATTAACGCTAAGATTGATAATATTTTGCCGAATTTTTTTATTATTCTTGACATTATTAGGTAATGATTAGGTAATATGATGATATTATAAAAAAATATATAATACGTAATTATGTGAAGGTATTTAATGATATAAAATATTATTCGTTATCTAAAAGAAAGTAATGTTTGCAAAAGGATTGCTTTTTTTAAGAAATGAAATATATATATACTTTATAATATACCCATTTATACTCCTATTTCTCCTATTTTGTAATATGAGCAATCTTTTTAGTTCTTTCTTTCCTTTTTTTTTTTTTTAAAAAAAAAAAAAGAAAAAGGAGAAAGAAAAAAAATGAGGTGGAATTTGTTTTTTTTTTGTTTAGATTAAATAATATGTTCAGCAGTAACACGCAATTCCAAAAACAAAAACACGTTACAAAACTATTATATTATACTATACTATATGAATTATTAATTAATATTATTATTATATTATATTATATTATATATATATATTATATTATACGTAAAAATTTCAACATAAAAATTTCAACACCCCGTTCAAAAAGCGTTCTATTTATACAAAAAAAAAATAATCACGTGAAAAACAATTATATTTGTTTCTTACTTCTTTTAACATAGTATAAATGACGAAAAGAATTAAACAATTATATTTGTAATAATTACTAAAATCAAGTGATATGAGAATCAAGTCTAGGATAAATTTTATCCGAAAATTAAAAAAAAAGAAAAAAAAAACTTCTTTGATTTTTTTATTCATCGGACATAGACTCTATTTTAAGTAATTAAAAATTTAATTTTTGATTTATAATTATTTAATATAATTAATATTAAAATTTTAATTATAAGATTATTAAATAATTATTTTATTTATTAAGTACTTTTAATAATAAAACTTAAATAGATTATTATTATTTAAATAACTGCTTTATTTTTATTTAATAAACTTATTTTACAATTTTTAACAAATAAAATCCATCTACTTTCTGAATTTCCAACTTTTTTAAATGTTTTTTTCAGATTGGTAAAATTATCATTATACTATTTAATAATATAGTTATTTCAGCATTTTATCTGTTATATATTATTATATTTATATAATATTTTATTATTGGTACTATAATAATTATTAACATTATTATTTAATATTATTAAATTAAATTTAATTTAATAAAATTTATTAAAAGATATTAATAAATATAATGATCATATAGTATGTTTTAATTATTATTTTAAAAATTTTAAATTAATATATCTTAGTCAATAATATCTCAATTTTTATGAAATAAAAACCATAAAATTCATTTTATTAAGGTGATTTTAATAAACTTAAAATTATTTATTTTTGATCATCAGATTATAAAATATTATAATAATATTTAAATTATTATATTCTAATAAAATAATATTTTAAATAATATGAATACTTTATATTTGATTTACATAATGAAATAAATTTATAAATAAAAAATCATTAAAATCTAATCACTATATAGCTAAATAATATATTAAAATTGTTTTTTATAATAAAAAAAGTATTAAACTTTGATATTACTAATTAAATTATATTATTAATAAATTTATATATAATAGGTAATATTTAAGATTTAAAATTAATTTTAATATTTTGATTTAATAATTTTATATTAAATGATAAAAGTTAACCTTTTAAACTTATAGTTTATTACTAATTAAAGTTATAGTACTAATAAATTTATGTATAATAAATAAATATTAAATCTAAAGATTTAATATTCTTATTTAATAATTTTAGCAATTTCTTTATATAAAAAACAAAATCAGTCTTTAAAACCTATAATTTATTACTAATTAATACTAATAAATTTATATATAACTAGAAAATAAGAAATATTATGTGTTAAAGCATTAATTTATATTGCTTAAATATATAATAGAAAAAGTTAATAAATAAATTTAATACAAAAATAATTTTTTATATAATGTTAATTTGTTAACATGAACTGGATAACACTCTTATAAGAGTGTTATCTAGTTGCGTTATAATGTTATCTAGCTACAAGTATAATGTTACCTAATTACGAGTATAATGTTACCTAGTTACTATTTTTAATATTCTGTGGTCTTTTTATTGCCTTGTAGCTATCTGCTTGATTTTATTAATCTGTCCTCTTTTTAACGTTAAGGAAACATCTTTCCGTTTACATTCTTCTATATCTTTTTATTAATAAAGAGTTATCTATTTGTTTACCTGCTTCTGCGTCTTTTTGGATACCTGTTAAGATGTCAAGAATGCTTTCCTTCTTTACCTATTTTATTGCCCGCCAAAATGTTGAAATATGGTAAAAAAAATCTAAGTTATTACGTGATATAAAAACTGTTACGGTGTGTAATGGTTTTTTCAAAAATATTGGGTATGCCGTAGGCGTACTGAGCTTGGTTGCCGAGTTGGTGACCCTTGTAAAATATTTAATAAATACATTCGTTTTATAAATGATCACAAATTAGAGTACTGGATTGAGAACTCCGTTAACACTGTTAACGATCGAAGCGCTTCAGAAATTTTAAATGATATGCGAAAAATCCTTTTAGATGATCTGAAATCAGTATATGCCTAATCAGATCTGGCTATATTACTTTCATGCTCTTTTTCTCAACACTAGCCTTGGATTATATCGCTTTCTGCATGTTTTGTTTCGCTATATCCGAGAAAGGTATATAATTTGAAAGATCGAAGCTGATGCTATTTTACAACTCAACTATTGCCCATTAGTTGCTGGTATATTTATGCCAATTTTGCATTCTGAAGTTGGAGGTGTACTATGTATTATCATGGCCGGTCCATTTGTTTACTAAGAAGTACACCATCTTACAACCTATTTTTGCGTTATTATAGAGCAAGTTTTATAGTTAAAGCAATATTTTTACATATTTTTGAGATGAATTCCGTCTTAATTACTAGGACGGTTTGGTCAACTAAGACGGGAATTAGGATGGATTCTAATATGGGAGAAAAGCTTCTTTCTTTGATTTAACTTGTTCTTTTATATTACGTCCTAATTGTTCTAGTTGTCCTAGTAAAAATAAAAATTCTAGAAAAAAAAATCATAATTCATCTTATGGTATATGTATAATATATGCTATATACCCATTACCTTTGGTAATATATCCCTATAGGAAAAAAAAATAAAAAGTATATGGTGGCTATCATGTAACTTTAAAAATTTTATAAGTTAAAAATATAATAATAAAATATAAATTTAAACCAATAAAATAATAAAGTAATATAAGCTGAACATATATATCGGCTTATTTTTTAGAGATACTTAAAAAAATTTAAGTTTATTTTAAGTTTAAAATTCAGGAAATTTTATATTGCATATATAGTAAAAAGAAAAATTTCAGACTAAGGATCAGCAATCTGTACGTGAAATTTTTCGCATTTTCACATGAATATCAAGGTGTTTTCTTTTTTCCCACACTTTGACCTTTTTTATCAACGATGCCTTGACCATCAAAAAGAAAAATTAAGGTTAAAGAACAAGAAAGAGATAATGATGGAAAGTTTGCAAAGAAGCCACTGATTGTGAATGATTGGGGAGATAATGATGATAGCGGGTGGGATAATGAAATAGATATGTTAGATGAAAAAGAAAACAAATATGAGTTAGTTTGGTCAGATAATGCACACTTAGAATGAAAAAAAACGTGAATCTTACCTTGCTGGAAAAATTAAAAAATCAACATATTTCGATAAATATGGACCCAGTGGTTGCTTCACAAAAGCTGCAAAAGGAACTGCAAGGATAACAACATTTATAAATAAAAATTCATCAACTTCAGAAGACTTTGATGAAATTTTGGATGACATCGAAGAGGAGGACCAAAATCGATCTGATCTAAATAAAAAATTGAAAATCTAAAAATTAAACTTAAAAAATAACAAAATTTTTTGAGTGTAAATGAATATAATAAGAAAAGAGCGGTTTTTGAATATTTAAAAAGATTAAGTAATAATGATGGGAAAGGAAAAATAAAAGCTAGTGTAGAGGTTGCACAAGAAGTTTTTATTGAAAATACACAATATAAAGCAAGAATTATTCGTTATTGAACAAAATATTAGCTCCAATATAATCATCTTCCAATTAGCCGTTAAAGCAAACATCAAAAGACAATACGATTAATAAATGATGAAGATATTGCAGAACAATGTCATGTTTGAATTTGATCTCAAGAGAGGACAACCACTCCGCATAAATTTAAGGAGTTTATTGATCAAAAATTACTTGTTAATTTGGGAATAACGAAAAAAAAAAACCATTAGTATAACAACTGCAACACGTTGGTTAAATATACTTGATTATTTTTTTCAATCCCAGAAACAAGGTAATTAAAATTTCTTTTTTTTTATTAATATATTTAACTTAAAATTAATAC